TTCATTCTTTCTCCTCAAAGATGGATTTCCTCCTTGTACCATCATCGTCCCTGCCAGAAATCGACGCCTATAAATCTCACAAGTCCCCTCGCTCAGAGAACAAAGTGCCAGATCCCCCTTTCTGAAGATAATCCAAACCCCAGAAACCTTCGCCGAAAACAGCCATGGCCGGAGTGGAAGCGCTTCCGAAAGAGTACGGCTACGTCGCCATCGTCCTCGCCCTCTACTCTGCCCTCAACTCCTGGATGACTTTCCAAGTCGGCAAAGCTCGCGCTAAGTACTGCTTTGATCTGATTCAATTAAGCTCAATGCTGTTTTAGTTTTCAGTTTTGGGAATTAGGGTTCCATAATCGGCCTGCTCCAAATCTGAAATTATAATCAATAATCAAATCAAATTAGGTTTTTCGATTTCGAATTCTTAATCGATACTCGCTTGCTGCAGGTACAACGTTCGCTATCCGGCCATGTATGCTTCAGAAGAAGATGGGAATGAAAAGGGCAAGATTTTCAACTGTGTTCAGGTTCTTATTAGTATTAATTTCTCTGTTTCAAAATGTGTGGTGAAATGGGTAGATGATGCTCAATTGCATTGTTATTTACCAAAAATTTGGATTCAATCGAGTTAAGGTTCTTTCTTGTTAAACATGTGGAAATGAATTTGTTTGGTGTGTGTTTGATGACATGCATGACAGAGGGCACACCAGAATTCAGTGGAAAACATGTCTGTGTTCTTCATGTTGATGATGGTAGGAGGAATAAGGCACCCTTTGGTGTGTGCATTACTTGGAGCTTTATACACGGTTGCTCGTTACGTCTATTTCGTACGCTATTCCTCCGGTGTTCCTGAGAAACGCCGTGCACCTTGGTACACCTTCTACTTCTTCTTCTTCTCATCAAGTCTAAAATTGATGATTTTTTACCCATCACATTATAATACATACTAAAGTACATGATTCTGAAAAAACCTCATCTCGGATTCAGGTTCGGTCGAAATTGACCCATTTTTCTTCGATTGTTTTGGATCTTGTTGTCTACGGGTTTGGTCAATAAAACTTCTGTTCTAAACCTAGTATTTTGGGGTCATCAATTGGTCGGGTCATTTTTTGTTAGGTCTAGTTGAAACAAATAGATACATTCTTGAGCGTTAACACTCATAGAATGTAGTAAAAAATTAATAACGTTAACTAATTAAATAAACTTTGGCTGTGCTTAATCCGTAAAGGAAAGACAAAGTTAATTTAGGATAACAAAAAAAGGTAAAAGTGAAGCTCATGAGATAAAGAAAAATGTGAAAAAACATTTACACTATTCTTGACCTTGCAGGTATTTCATTGTGCTTGTCACATTTGGCCTCATGATCTCCACAATATCTTGCGGAGTGAATCTTATTATTACCTCCCCATGAGCAAGAAGACTGCATTTGGTCACGTCTTTGCCCCATGGGAATCCATATATATGTCTTTTTCTCCTGCATTTCGGACGACTGTGAAGCGCGTCTCTGTTATCTTTCGGTTATGTTATGTAACACTTATATGCTGTTGTTTTAAGAATTACTCCGCGTACCATGTTTAGTACTTCAGAGTAATTAGTAAAGAATAATTGTCCAACCATGGATTCTCATATTTTATATTTGGATGTACTATGTTTATTACTCCGTATGTATCAAATACATATTCGTTTAAAAGTTAAAGAATATTCATCTTGTATATTTATTTCTTTGCATATACTTAAAACGTGCGCATCATGAAATTTATAATGTATGTCCATTTAATAATTACATAACGTTCATTTCGTTAATGAACGAAGGAATGAAAGAATGCCACTTTATTCAACAAAAGAATGAAATAAAATGGTAGAAAAGCGCACATCTATTTTTTGAAATGTACTTAGAGTGTGCACATTGTAAAATTAGTTCATGTATATTTACTTTGCTTATTTTCAATACTCACTTCTTAATATAATATGTTCAAGTTTCTATTTGTTTGGTAGAATTTTTTAAATCATTTTTAAATATGTAAGAAGTGTATTTTATATTTTAATTTTACACTTATAATCAAAGAAATTGAACTAAAAATAGTTTTAGTCAAATCTTGTAATGCAAAATGAGATGAACAATTCCAGGCAGAGAGATCATTTATTATCTTTCTATAAATATTGTACGTAGTATAAGTCAAAAAGGAAAAGTGTAAAGATCATTTTAGGATTTAAAGAGTCCTATATGGTTAAGATCCTTAAGATTTTGTTAAGTTTTACTTTGATACGGTTGGCTCCCTAATTGTATTTTATAGTTGGCCTTATTTTTTGACAAAAGCATGTGTTGTAGTATTGTTTGGGGTTAGCCGTGTTGAGAATAGAGCTGTATCATCCTGTCCGTCACTCTACAAGTTATCATTTGCTTACAAAGAGTTTTTCTTCACAAAGAGGTTTGGGCATAATAAAACATCTCGTAGCAGTTGTGTCCTGGAAACTAAATTCCTGAAAATACAGTTTGTACAAGCTCTGCACCAAGAGTTTCGCATCGGATGGACACTGCATTAAACGATCAAAGCTGCTTCACGAGATTGGGTTGAACTGGGACTCTAAGCCGCGTCAAGAAGCTGGGTCAAATTGGGACTTTCGTAGGGTTCGCTTCATATAAATATAACGCGATGCTTATTAAAGTGCATCCCACATCGGAAGTTCAAGAGTAAAATAATCTGGTATATAAGCTCTTGAGTTAAACTAACTAATCGATTGGATTCAATCTTTTAATGCGATTAAGGTCAAGTGTCTTATAGCCCAATCTAGTTGTCCATACCCATCATTTGTCAAGGTGTCCGTCTAGACGTTCATTCCTAGAGGCCCGTTAGTCTTTAGCCCTGTTGTCCGTATGGAGTATGTACCCAACGGCATGTGGCCCGTTTAACACGATTGCTCGTCTGGAGTCCATACCAGCTGCTCGTGGTCCTTTAGGTGTTGGCGCTCAAAAAAATCAAGGGAATGGGAGTTCATTTGCAAGTGGTCAACCAGTTAGATTCAAAATGGCCCGGTTGTCCACTTAAGGGGGGTGTTAAAGTGCATCCCACATCGAAAAATCAAAAGTAAAATAATTCGGTATATAAGCTCTTGAGTTAAACTAACTAATCGAATTGGATTCAATCTTTTAATGCGGTTTAGCTCAAGTGTCTTATAGCCTAATCTAGTTGTCCATATCCATCCCAAATTCTATCAATGCTGCTGAATTGAGGTGGCGGATGAACACAGAAATTTGCAAAGAGTGAATATTTTTAAGAGAGTTCCGTTGGTCAGTCATCGTCTTGAGATATATATTGATAAAAGTTCATTCGTTGATGATGACTGGTTGAGGTTTACAACACACAGAGCTATTAAAGGTTCAAGGAGCGTTTCAAAAGTTGATACAAGTTATTTTGGAGCGCAAGCCACTGACACGTCTCAGATAAGTTGATAAGTGTTACCGTTCTTGATGTGTGTGCACAAATCGAGTTTGATGCATTACCTTTCAGTTAGAGTTTAGACCAATACTTAGATCGAGTCTCTAGTCATTGAGGGTGTAAACTCTACTGTGAGATAGTGAGAAGGCTGTTACACTGACGTGGGCCTCGCAGATATTGACTGCTGCACTCCCCACGAATTTTCAGATACATCTTTAAAACTACGGAGAATAAACTTATTTTTGGGATGAGGGAGTATATTTTATTCTATAAATTTTTTTAGTGTATTCGTTTGGTCTGATTTGTTTTAATCAAATTTGATAACATTTAATCATTAATTAAATAAAAATGTAATTTCATATTAATACAAAAAAACCCCTTCAAAAAAAAGTACCCAAGTAGGGGTCGTACGTGTTCGATATGTAACACCAACCTATGACTAACCAAACCACTCAGGCGTTTCCAAAGTAGTGGTTGTTGGAAATGAAAGGATCAAATTGTATTAACTAGCTCAAATTTTGTATTACATGATTAGCTCCTATATATAGAAAATGAAAAACAAGAAACAACCAAAAATATCTTCCTAACAAACTAACAAACTGTGTAACTAATCAACTAAACAAGATAAATGGTGGTTTACACCAACAGTGGTTGGGAGACTTGTGAGCCACCAACATATGACTTTTTTTATGGATAAAAATTACTCCCTCCGTCCTAAAACTTTCTTTCCACTTCCCCTTTTTCCCCGTCCTAAAACTACCTTCCCATTAGAAAAAAAGATGACAAATGACATTAACACCCTCATGTATTTATACCAATTATCTTCTAACTCTATATTTTGAATGATTGCAAAAAGATTTCAAAAAATCTTTTTTAAGGAGGGTAAAATTTGAAATCAAAGCCAAAAATTAAAAATGGGGAAAAGTCAAACTGGGAAGAAAGAATTAGGACGGAGGGAGTACTTTTTTCCTGTCTCATTATTTGTCTACTTTTGAATTTTTTGATTTAAATTGATAAATTTTTATTTCAAATTAAATAAAAATGATAATAGATATTGATACAAAATAGTTTTATTAGATTTATTATATCAAACATTTTCAAAATATCATTTTATCTAATTAATATACAATATATATTTTATTTAATTATATGTCAAAGCTGAAAACACTTGACCGAAAAAAGTTAAAACTAAACAAATACTCAGGGACGACCTAATTGGCAGTACTTAATTATAATATTCGAAACTGTCTGATTTCCAGCTTTATTTTTAAGAGGCTGGGAGAAAAACAACTCATCAGAAACAATTTAAATAAGCTTTTAAATATAATTCGACTGTAAAAATAATCGCATTAAAGAAAGACTGTTCATACATTATACATCTCTCCAAATTACTTGCGCCTCCTCTTATTTCTTAATTATGGTGCCATTGGTTGATAAGTGTACATATATCCAAAGAAAAATATATGAACCGTTTAAGAATATGGTTATAACCACCTCACATTTGATCTTAACTATGCTACACAACAATATTAGTGACATATATAAGAGCACATTTATAATCAAAAGTGAGGCAACATTAACGTTTTCTTAGCTTATTATATTAATTAAGTTGTCAAATAAATTCTTCAAGAAATGTAATTAATCAAAGCAGTGACATGCAAGAGTAGAAGACCACTCCAGAAGCCAAACCAACGCTAATCCTTGCAGCGCCGCCGTGATTATCGGCGGGAGACGGTTCATTACTATTGGCGGTAATGGGCTCCTTGGGAGCGGCCGCAACGGTTCTGTTGGCCCCACGGCCGCTCCCTTTCTTTCGCCCCGCCGCTGCAGAAGGGGCCCTTGTGAATTCCACAGGTAGCAAGACCTTGTCCACCTAATTCATCAATTAATGAAATTACTCCATCAATTCAATAAAATAACCTCTCACAAGTATTTTTTGTATACCTTGAAATAATTTCAAGAGAATAGAAAAAGTACCACAATAGAATGTTGGAGTTCCCACATCGGAAAAAATAAAGATGAGTATCACTTGCATATATTGAAGGGTGAAGTCCTACCTATCAGCTTAAGCTTTTGGGTTAGAATTGTGGATCCCGACTTTATATGCAAGTGGTTAATTTTACCCGACACTCTATCCGTTGTTCTCGGCCCACCGGAATTTTAACATGGTATCAGAGCAGGTCCGGTCCGGATTTGATTGTTCCTGGTTGTTTGGATGTGGGTTTAACAAAAATGAGCTACCCGTATGTGGTTTGGGCTGAGTTGGCTAAAAAGAGATTGAGATGCCACCGCCAGTTGTGTGGGCTAGCTATAAGAGATTGAGATGCTACCCGACACTCTATCCGTTGTTCTCGGCCCACCGGAATTTTAACATAGAACTTCTATGTTTTTATTCTTGAAATAAAAGTTTGCATTGTGGTAATGTGGAGGTGATCTGACACTGTACCCGTGTACATTACTATACTTTTTGGTAATGTACATAACCATGTTCAGTAATGTAAATACATTTTAATTCCTATTTTTAGAATAAAAAATATGGAAGCTCTACTTTGATATATTTTCAATATTCTATTCCTACTTTAGTTTTTTTCTCATAACTTCAAATCTAGGGGTCTAACACACCTGGTAGACGGCCAGAGGGAACTTTTGTCTCAAGGCGTTAGACACCTGGGTTTCCACCACCCCAGAGCTGACGTTCACCTGGTTGCTCATCCCGCCGGTGAAGTTGAGCCAGAAGTTGCCCCCGTCGGACCCACTAGCCTGAGTCCCGACGGGGTTGGTGGCGGTTTCCAGGTCGTCGAGGGAGTAGAACTTTGGGAGGACATGGTACTGGATGAGTTGAACCTTTTGCTGGACGGAGAGGCGGTTGAGGGCCCCGCTAGGGAGTGCCCCGAAGGCGGCGTCGGTGGGGGCCAGCACCGTGACACCCTGGGCGGAGGTGATGACCTGGGTGTTGATCTGGGTGGCTATCCGGCCGGTTCTGTCCATGAACTTGATGAAAATGCTGAACCTTCCTGCCTTTTCGAGAATCGCGGTGATGTCTATTGGCCATGGCGTTGGTGAGGGTGCATTGTCATTGGGTTGGGCATGTGCTTGGTGATGATGGGTGAAAGAGAGGAGGATGAAAATGGTGGAGTGTAGGAGATGGGAGATTATCATGGATGCCATGGTTTGGGTTAATTGATTCTTGCTAGATGTTGAGATTGAGAGGAATAATAGTTAATGAGATTAATGTATGGGTTGGGTGAAGATGATGAGGGTGAGATTTTAACTAATAATCTAATAGGTCGAGTGCGTATATGTATGGTAAAATAAGGTGAGAGATGGCTTGGCAAAATATGCCACATGCAGCAAGTGTTTGTTACCTAGGGGTTATGCATTATGCCTTTTGGGATCCTTATTAGCTTGGTTTCGTGCATTAATCAATTTCTTTTTTAAATTTTACTGTGGTCACTAATACTTTTCTCAATTGGTATTATTGGCATTATAGGCCTAGTTTAGGAATAAAAAATATGGAATGTCTATTATGGTACTTTTTACATGTTTACTCCTAATTTAATCTTTTTTCCCGTAAAAAAAACATGTTTTTGCATAATATTTTAAAATATATTACTCCCACCATCTTACACAACAAAGTTTAGCTTTTATAGTATAAGAAATGATATTGTCACTCAAATGACAAACTTAAAAGTTAAAAAGATGAGTCATGAATATGTGACACAGGAGAGCTCGTAAAGATGTTAAAAACATCTCAACTTTACTCATTTTGCATATTCTTCTTCTTCACCTTTAACCAAAATCCCAAATGCATATACCGAACATATCATAAACCTAAATTTCCTATATGCATACATTAATAAACACATCACAGATTCAGACATATTACCAATCTAACTTAATTAGTCACACGTACTCATCCACACACATTAACAATTGCCATAATGGTGTTTAACGACCTTCAAGTCTTGTAATGGAAACATCATTAACAGTCTGGTTCCCAGTCCCAGCACTTAATGACGAAGAACATGGAGGAACATTCCCAGGTAGTTTGAAAACAAATCCCGGTGGATTAGGAACAGGGAGAGCTGTTTCATTACTTAGCATGAAAACCACTTGGGACATGCTTGGTCTGTCATTTGGGAATGCCTGGACACACAACAACCCCACATGGACGCACCTCAAAGCTTCTCGGCTATTATACGCTACCCCCAATGATGGATCGGCTATATCCAATGGTCTTTCTTCGCTCCACAAATCCCAAACCTGAAAAACAAAGCGTTGAAAATTATGCTTCGAATATAAAAAAAACGGCATTGGGGACAACGTGCGCGAGTGTTCGTTAGTGTTAGAATATAAGAAACATTTCCTGGGCCACAACCACAAGCTTTACCTCTTAGTCAACAAGGCTCTGATACCATGTTATGGAAACAGCTCAAGCTTGTGGTTGTGGCCAGGAAATATTTCTTATATTCTAAGAGTTAGACACATACATCTCCTACTAAATTCAAAGAGTCTTCCTTCAATTGATTCTTATTCTTCCTCCCGCTCACAATTTCCAATAACATAACGCCAAAGCTGAAGACATCAGATTTTACTGAAAAGTGACCTTCCATTGCGTATTCTGGCGACATATAACCACTGCAACACATAAAAAAATGCAATGCATCGGCGGCACTAAAGTCAGTCAACTCCAACACTCAATGCTTGATAGAGTAACAAAATTTGAGTAGTTACGATAATATAAATTACCCTAAATAAGACTAAAACATATAGAAAAATACCAAAATAGGACTTTTATGTTTTTTTTCAAAATAGGACTTTGCACTGTGGTAATGTGACAGTGTACATATGCACATTACTATACTTTTTTGGTAATGTATATGACCATGTTTGGTAATGTAAGTCCTATTTCGGAAATAAAAATATGGAAGTCTTATTTTGGTATATTTTAAATGTTTTAGTCCTACTTTGGTCTTTCTCCCTTACGATAACTTACTATGTCCCGACTACACGATTCGTATTCGCTTCAATTTGATCTCCTCCGAAAATTCTTGCCATTCCAAAATCAGAAATTTTCGGTTGCATGGCAGCATCTAACAAAACATTGCTGGCTTTTAAATCTCTATGGATGATTTTTAACCTAGAATCTTGGTGAAGGTATAACAATCCTCGGGCGATTCCCAAAATGATTTCAAAGCGTTCCCTCCACTTCAGAGATGTTCCATTTGTCTTATCTGCACGATTCGCACGTGGTAACTATTTACTGTTTATGTTGGTTAAAAACGTGAATTAATGCATGCATCGATTAAGAGAACATCACCGAATATAAAACTATCCAAGCTTTTGTTGGGCAAGTACTCGTAGACCAACACTTTCTCTCCTTGTTGAATGCAACACCCTAAGAGCCTCACAAGATTTCTATGTTGTAGCCTTGCAATAAGTGTCACTTCATTCTTGAACTCAACAATCCCTTGCCCTGAATTTCTTGACAGCCTTTTGACCGCTACCACCACTCCATTCTGAAGCTTTCCCTGTAAAACAACAACTCCCAATCAAACTAATTAAGTTCTTTTTAGAAGAGATGTGTGCACAATGCAAGCTAAGTACTGGGTATGTGTAACCTTGTAAACAGAACCAAATCCGCCTTCACCGAGTTTGTTGGCATCAGAAAAGTTATCCGTCGCGGTTTTGATTGCACTGAGATCATACATTACCAAATCCGTCTCTCCAGTTTCGTTCATATCTTTTCCCAAAGTAGACCAATCAGGAGACTTTAAACTAGTACTGCTTGTGTTGTCCGTAAGTGTTCTTTGAAAGATTTTGCCTGGAACATAATAATTAGCCTTTACGTAAACGAAATAACTCCATATATTTCGTAGCCATATGGTGACATGCATGAAATTTTAAAAGAAAACCAATATATACTAGCTAGTTGTATGCATAAAACACTACAATGTATATATGGTTGGTTCATATATATGTACCTTTCCTTTGTTTTATCATGAAAGCACATAGTGCAAGAACCACAGCAGCAACAGGCAAAACAAATGCCTCAACGAGCCTCTTCCCGTGAAGCCCTTTAGCTTTCTTCACATGTTGTCCTGAAATCCAAAAAATTACTTCGTACTTTATGAAAAAATGATATGGTGCCCCCAAATATTTGCTATAATAGTGTATCCATGTTTCATCTGTGACATCTGTATGAAACATAAATGCAAAATGACAGCAACCATTTGGAGGAATCCTAACATGACCAGTACTATATTAAATCCATATAAGACATAATTTTCTTTCAAAATGTTTTTTTCCTTTGCTTTTTTAGAAAGGGTGTAAAAAGATTGATTTTAAAAGCACAGAGTACCTAACAAATCAGATGCAGAGAGTCGAATGTAAAAATCTTGTCCTCCCTTTGGGAACTGTCTGATGTCTAACAATGGCCCATACCAAGTGACGCACCCACTTCCCGCGCTGACGTTAGCAACCGCGTACCCGTTGCACGAACAGTTCTTCCGGCAAATCCCCTCGCACTCTCCCGGCCCCACGCTCCGGTTCACGCGCGCCGTGTTTGTGTCCGGTATCTTCACGTGCGCCATCGCCACGAACCCTTCCCCCTTCCCGCACACCTCCGTGTTGTTCCTCCGGCAGCCGTGGACGCCGTCTCTCAGGTACCACTCTCTCCCGGAGACCGGCTGGAATCCGGGGAGACAACCGCACTCGAACGCCGTCGGGTTTTCGGTGTTGCAGTAGCCGAACGCGCCGCAGTGGTCGTACGCGTCGCACGCGTCCCTCGGGGCGGACCAGAACTTGACCCATTTCTTCACGTCGTCTCCCTGCCACGTCATCCGGTTCACCGTGCCCGACTCGTTTAGAACGAATATGGAGTGTATTGTCGGGTCCCGGATCCAATAACTCATCGTGACCTCATCGTTATTATCCGAGTAGTCGAGGTTAAATATGTAATTTGACGACATCTCGGGCACCCCGCTCCACCCGGCTCCGCTCCACGACCCGGTTCTCCAAACCGGGTCCGAACCCCGGTACAGAAACGCCTGGGGCGTCCCGTTCAGCTCCATTTTAAATTCGTACTGACCCGACCCGGGATCCTCCGGCGACTTCCACGACGTCAGGTGCCGGTTCAACCCGGTTCTCCTGTCAACGCCGAACTTCATGTGGGGGAGCAAGACGTTCGTCGGGTAATCGAAACTCTGCCACGATCCGACCCGCCTGTTCGGGTCGTCGCGATACAGGACCAGATTCCCGGTGTCCAGCAACTGAGCAGCGTAAATTACTCTCTTACCCTTCGCCGGAAAAGAAAGACTGGTGTTCCAGACGGAGACGCCGGTTCGATTCTCCTGGATAACCAGATTCCCGGCGGCGTCGATGAAGAGGATTCCCGTCGTGCCGTTGACGGGGTTGTCTCTGTTAGCGACCCAAACAACGGTTTGATCCGGGATTTGCTTGAACCAAACTCCGACATATCTCTTGCCGGAAGATTTCTCAGGGGAGAAGAATCCAAGAACAAAAGACGCCGCCTTTGAGGACAAGAACTCCCCATCATTGAGGGTTTGGTTAAAGGTGAGGGTGTCGGTGAAGCCGTACGAGGAAACAAGTGACGACAAAGCTGCTGCGAATAACAAAACGATGATTCTTGAAGACATCATGATGATTGTCTTGCCACATTTTCTCAGATTTCTTGCGGTGGCCGCAACTTTAACCTGCTGATCGGATACAGCCTGTTGCCTAAGGCTGAAGGTCGCTTTCTTATCGTCCAAAATTAAATGCACGAAGGTGGGGAGTAACAGTGACCTCTCCGTTCTCAGATAAAAATCTTGCTCTGTTCTGCGGTTTTTGTTCACCCATCGGAGGTCAAGAGCATGCTAGGACTTAGAGGTGACGTGGCCACCACTGTTTATAGCCCAACAAATAAATTGGGCTTAATTGGCTTACAGCACAGCCAATTCGCAAGTAATGGTAAGTGACTAGAGTAATACCTTGTGAAATGCCAAGTTATTGTTTTTGTTATTCTTTATAATTTTCTAATTATTAAAAATTATTGCACTAATTTTTTTAAAATAGATGTACTCCTTTTTTAAAAAATTCTTTCTTCTACAAAAAATTTAAAAAAATAAAATAAAAAAGAAAACATAGAAGATGACTCGCGCCTCACATGCTAGGAGCGGAGAAAGGCTGAGCCACTGAAGGCAAATTATGAAACAATATTTGAGTTGATGTGGCACAGCGAGGCGAGAAAATGCCTCGCTGCTGGCCATGCTCTTTGAAAAATCTTACTCCCTTATTTCAAAAAAAAACTTGCTCCCCTTCATTCAAGAATATTTTTTTATATCTAATATTTTTTTGTCAAATTTTTACAAACTTTAAACATAAATTCTTAAATTGTGAAAAAATATACTAAGTATATAATTAAAACATAAATTTAATATAACTAGGTTAATTTAAATATATTGTTTTGAAAATGTATACCCTACACTCGGATATATTTTTTTAATCTTCGTGTCAAGTCAAAGGTAAAATTTTTTTATTTGACAAACGATGTCATTCCTTTAATTTGTTGCACTTTATATTTTTGGTAGCCACTAGAATTTTGATAGATATAGATTTCTTTGCAGAGGATTACCTTTGTTGTTTTATATACCTCAACTTCTATCTTTTACTTGCTACACTTTTATTTATTGTTTTAATAACCTCCACTTCTATCTATTTTTTTTTTTTCCATAGGATTACAGATATGGCATTCTTTGCAGAGGATGTTCACCTTTTAGCAAATGAGGTACTCACTCTTGCTTGATTATGCTCAAAATATTACTCTGTTCATGTTTTTCATTTATTTTACTTATGTGCTCATTTGACAGTGCCACTGTGGGTCAAGTGGTTTTAGCAAAAGAGGCACTAAGATGTCTACTTGACATGCCTTTATGCAAGCCAAACATATTAGGTCCGGTTGACATGCCTCTATGTACCCTTTTGTCTTAGTGTTTTTAAAGTAAATCATAACCATGTAAAAATTATCCACAACTAAAAGCTAATTACAACAATATATGTTACAAGTCTATGTTAATTATCTACCATCCAACTTGGTAATTGTAAGCTCATTCGAAGTTTGATCATTATAAACACTAGACGATGAATCTGTTTTTAACGGTCTACTACCAAGACAAAACCCGGGTTGTTTAGGTTGAGGAAGCAAAACCTCTTCACTTCTCAGCATCAATATCACAGCTGCCATTGTTGGTCTATCTTCAGCTTTTTCCTGAACACATAGTAACCCCACTTGTATACTTCTCAGAACTTGATTATTATTGAATTCTGAATGTGTTTCTGCACTCAAACTTGAATCTAGTAGCTCACATCCCCTTCCTTCTTTCCATAACTTCCATGCCTATAAATGAATACCATGCTCAAACTCAGACACCCGAATCTAATTAATGGTCGGACAGATAAACTTATATTTTTGAAACCCAAGGCATAAATGCAAACAAACTTACAAGTCCCAAAAGGTTATCGTTGTCTTTTTGTTGATAGAACCCTCGATTCTTTTTCCCGGTCACTACCTCAAGCACAAGAACTCCGAAGCTAAAAACATCAGATTTCATTGAGAATAGCCCGTCCATTGCATATTCTGGTGACATATAACCACTGACAAAAAAAGGTAAAATGTTAGCTTACAAAGAAGAAATTGAATGTTGTATATGAATTGACTTGAAAGTAATACTTTTGGTGATTACATACTATGTTCCAACTACTCTCTTTGTAGTCTTGGCGTCCGTTTCATCTCCAAATATTCTTGCCATGCCAAAGTCAGATATTTTAGGGTTCATTTCCTTGTCCAGGAGAACATTGCTGGCTTTAAGATCTCTATGAATAATTCTAAACCTCGAGTCTTGATGCAAATACAAAAGCCCACGAGCAATTCCATAGATGATGTTGAACCGCCTTCTCCAGTCGAGCATTGAGCTTTTCTCTTTATCTGAACGCACATAATAGAGTTAATTTCGGAACTGAATAGATAACATGCAACAAAAATATTTGCTTATGAATATAATTAAAGAGTTCTCTTAACATTTGATGCATTACACCATCGCAAAAAAATGATAAGAACTTAGCTTACCAAACAAAAGAGAATCAAGACTCTTGTTTTCCATGTATTCATATACAAGCATTTTCTCCTCATTATCAACACAGCAGCCAAGAAGCCGCACCAAGTTTCTGTGTTGGAGTTTTGCAATCAATCTGAGTTCATTTTTGAACTCTCCTACTCCTTGCCTAGACTTCTCTGATAGCCTTTTAACCGCTATTTCTTCACCGCTAATGAGTCTTCCCTGATGTATGTATATTTCATCCACAATACATATTAGGATATTTGATTGTGTATTATTGTTGAGAAAATGACTTATTATTACCTTGTAAACGCAACCAAAACCACCTCGGCCAAGCTTATTCTCACTGGAAAAGTTGTTTGTTGCCACAACAATGGTGCCAAGATCAAACAATGGTAATTCCAACTCATCTGTTTCCTTGAGTGTTTCCCTAGAAAGCTCTGTCTTTTTTGAAATAACAGTTCCATTCATTAGAAGATCTCCACTTCTTTCTCCTATACCTGTTTCAAGAAGATATGAAATTCTGTTGCGAAAAGCAAATCATTTCCATATCCTATGAGAAAGAAAAAAAGAGACCTAATAAATACTCCCTCCGTCTCTAAATAAAGTTCCATTTTTGACTTTTTGAGGATTTAAGGGATGGATATTTTTGTGTTGACTTTCCAAAAATACCCTTGATGTGATGTGTAAAAGTAAGATGTGATAGGTAGATTATTAGTAAAAAGGTATGATGTGATACGTAGGGTATGAAAAAGTAAGGGGCAAAAGGGGTTTTTTAAGGGAAAAAAGAAGTTTATTTAGGGACAAAGAAAAAACGAAAGAGGAACTTTATTTAGGGATGGAGGGAGTATATAGGTTCAATCCAACCCATTAATATGAAGACTTTTGGGAGATGTACGAAAACAAATTAATGAAGGTTTGGTTCAAAACGAACGATATTATACTAATGTAGGGTTAGGGTGAAGGTACGCGTGGTCCCAGTAACTCCCTATGCACATATGAAATCAATGTATAGTATTATTACCTCTGAGGTATATATTTGCAGCAAAGGCTCTCCTTGTTCTTCTTTTCTCCCACATAAAAAGGGAAAAAAGAATAAGGGCAATCCCAAGTGTGATGCTACATGCCAAGATTATCTCTTTTGTCTTGCCAAACCTCTGTCCAGACTTTTTTGCATTACCATTTTGTTCTGAAACCACATCACATTGATGAGTAACTAGATTTTATACTTAAACCTTGTAGGTTTTTAGTAATTTGCATTATTAGAAGATTTTAAAATACTTATTTACCCAAAACTTCGTTCAACATTTTGACCATTCATAATTATTTGAAAAGAAATATATATAATGTTGAATATCTAAGGGCTGTTTGGCAACTTCTGAATGGGTAAGTGTTGAACCAGTAAGAGGTCTGAACCATTAAGTGCTGAACCAGTAAGAGGTCTGAACCATTAAGAGCTAGTATATTGCTTAACTATTCAGAGGCAAATGTCTGATCAATTCAGATAAGAGGTCTTAACCATTCAGACTCTGTATAATACTTAACCATTCAGAGGCAAATCTCTTAACCATTCAGACATCTGAACCATTAAGAGGCTAAAACAAACAGTCTGAACCATTAAGTGCTGAACCATTCAGACATCTGAACCATTAAGAGGCTGAAACAAACAGCCCCTAAGTGTCATCTGGGAAACATCCTCTTTGAAATTTCACAAGAAATGCAACTCAAATCGTGTTTGTCGTCTACATTGGTGTAATTACTAACTACCAATGGAACCATAACTCTTCCCTTATGATCCAAACTAAGAGTTTTCAACGTCAGATTTGACTTAATGATACTAGCGGACCATTGGTGATTTCAGTTTTTACCCAAATTTAAAAAATCTAATTGAAGGTCAAAATGGATTCAGTTCATTTTACATATAACAATATGTAAACCATTGGTCGAGCTAGCGGGTTAGTTTTTATTTTATTTTTTGGCTTTCTTGGTTTTAAAAAAATGCTTCTTTAATATAAAAAAATTTAAAAGTGTGTTGTTAAAAAAAAATTAAAAAAAATCTCCCATGAAGTAAAATGTAAATATGAAAAAATGTGTTTAAAGAAACTTTAAAACATAACAATATCTCATGGAAATATATGAAAGATCATTGTTAATGTTAACTCTATGTAATATTTAAGTTATTAGTATTTATATTCTTCACTTTGTTCACTTTTCAAATGTGTATGAAATATTTTTTAGGCTCGGTCTAATAATACATGTAAGATTTCGGGCCTGTTCTTTAGGACTGGAAAAAAAGAGCTGGAAACTGGAAGAAACTGGAAAAAACTGGAAGGAACTGGAAAAAACTGGAAAAACAGGAAAAAATTAAAAGAAATTGAAAAAACTAGAATAAATTGTAAAATCTAAAAAAAGTTTTTAAAAATTTTTTATGTGTGGTTTTAAATTATTCTCTTTCTGATTCTTGTTGATATAAATTATTATTATTGCTATAATAATAATAATAATAATAATTATTATTATTATTATTATTATTATTATTATTATTATTGTTGCTGTTGTTGTTGTTGTTAGTGGTGGTGGTAGTGGTGGTGTTATTACGTTATCTAAATGATTGTCTTTAGAGTAAAATAAATATTATGAATATTATTTTCATACATAAAAAGATAGTTTGAAAAAATAATTAGAGATGAACTAGCACTTAATATTATACAATGTAGTTAAACTTAATTGAAGGTACTATATTTTAGATTAAAATATTGATGTTTACCTTATATAAATTTAGATTAAAAAATATTCTACTCCCTCCGTCCCAAATTATTTGCCACATTTGTATTCCCGAGGCAAAATATTAAATTTTTTCAATTCATTTTATTTACATATTGGTATAGAAATAAAAAAATAAAATTTACATATTAAAAAACTGCATGAAAAGTTCTTTGAAATAAGAGGTGTCAAGAATAATTTATTTTATCAAATAATCAATGAAAACATCGAAATAAACAAAAGTACTCGCGACTGTTAAAAAAGAAAATGTTGTGAATATTTAGGGACGGAGGGTGTATATAACTATTTAACCATAACTTTTTAAACAGTTTCCTATTTTTTCTTGTAGATTAGTATACAAAAAAAATGGTATTATTCATATTAAAAAGTTGAAGAAAAAAATAATGAATATGAATCATAAAAATAGTGAGATGACAAAATGAAATAATTTATAAACTATAGTTATCAACATAAAAGTTGTAATTAAAAAACTGTAAAAATAATCATAATAATATATTTTTTTAGAGTGATTTGTCAGAAAGTAGAAAGAATTTGAAGAAAATATATATAGTTGTAAGAAATTAGAAGAAACTGGAAAAAACAAGAAAAACTGGAAGAAACTGGAAGCAACAGGAAAAAACTGGAAGAAACTGGAAAAAACTGGAAGAGCTGGAAGAAACTGGAAGGAACTGAAAGAAACTGGAAAGAACTGGAAAAAACTGAAAGTTAAAAGTTCAAGTCCAAAAGAACAGGCCCGAAGGGATAACATTCGGATCATTTTCATAATGGATAACATTTTCATTTTATGTAAGGATAACATTTTCATCATGGGTGGGGTTCCAGTGCCACTAGAATCCGGTGCCACTAGCGGTGCCACTAGCATTTTGGGGCACCTCCGGTGCTCCGTTCGCAAAATTGACGGTTCCTATCCCCCCTAACCTACCCCCTAAACCCCCCACCCTACCCCCGCCCCTACACCCCCACCCCAACCCCGCCGTAAGCCCCCCACAAAATGTGTGGCACACATTTTGTGGGGGGCTTACGGCAGGGTTGGGGTGGGGGTGCAGGGGCGGGGGTAGGGTGGGAGGTTTGGGGGTGGGTTAAAGGGGTAGGAACCGTCAATTTTGCGAACGGAGCACCGGAAGTGCCCTAAAATGCCAGTGGCACCGGATTCCAGTGGCACTGGAACCGGGCCGTTTCATCATAATGGATAACTTTTTCATTTTATGTAGGTCGCTTTTTCAAAATGCCCTAAAAACAGAAGGAATTTATCACTCTACCCTAAAACGGATTTTATTTTTTAACCTACCCTTTCTATCAAAGTGAAATTACTCTCTTATCCTTCTCCACTAAGTCGAAATCGCTACGTTATCGTTATCATACCGTTGCAGCAGCAGAGCGTCGTTTTTACCCCAGCAAAGCAATTCGTTATTCTCGTTGCGGCGGCGCGCCATTTTCATCGTTTTCTATTCCAATCGATTGCATACTCTGACGCCTATCAGCTGTTGCCGTTGTTGTTAGCTGTTTGTTCCCAGTTGTCCCGCTGTTCGCTGTTTTGTCCCCAGTTCGCCGTCGTTTGTTTGTTTCCACTAATCGGTGAAAGACTCTTTCAACGTAGGTACACATTCATCTAATTTTACAGTAAGGATTGTATAATTAACTATAGTCGGAGACGAGTCGACATATATCTCTTTTACTGTATATTTAAAAGTCGACATTATTAATGATTTCTAAAGTCGACATATATTTAAAAACATAGGGTCGACATGATGAAGTTGACATATATTTAAAAACATAGGGTCGACATGATGAAGTTGGTTTATTAGGTCGACATTATAATGATTTATTTTATTCTGGATTTTTTTT